GGGTGAAACTTTTGCCAGACACGCCCGTAACACTGTAACGTGCTCTGCAGCGGCACGAGCTCAAAGTAAACAAAGAACGGAGGGGTAATGACCACCAAACTATCGGGGCTTCAGAACTCGCGCTGAAGAAGCCAGTCCCTAGAAGCATGCTCCGACGCAACGGTGGCGCCGGCGTCCGCCCACCGCCCACCGCCCACAAAGTCACCACGGCGCAGCCGAAGTCAGCGAGACAGATGGCACGCAGCCGGTGGACGCACTGTGACCCCGAGGCTCCTCCGCCCTGGTGACGACGTCTGGAGTGGTCTCCCGGGGTTACTGGTACGGATGTGGTCCTGTGACACAGGGGGCAGAAAGGATGACAGCCAGAGGACCCGAAGCACCTCCTGGCACACACACACACAGTGTCTCTGAGTCTCAGAGACGCACAGCGAGCTGCCCAAGGGCACACAGCAGTTGGGCGGCAGCTGCCGGGACAAAGCCCCAGAGACGGACGGAGCGGCTCACACAAAAGTCCCGCGTTTCCTCAGTTCCAGGGGCAGAGGCCTGAGATCGAGGCGGGGCAGGCGTGGGGTTCCCGGAGGCCTCTCCCCTTGGGCTGTAGACGGTCCCCACCTGGGCCTGCCTGTGTCCCAGCGCCCCCTCCTTAGGAGGGCACCGGTCACACTGCATTCAACACAGCTCACAGCTTCATGCCCCCCACACAGCCACACCCCGAGGGACCGGAGCTCAGGGCCTCAACGGGTGAACTTAGGGGACACGATTCAGTCCACAACAGGTGGCAACCCCAGGGTCTCCGGGCCACCCAATCTTCCGCTTTGCCCCCCCACATCCTGTGATTTAAAGGGTGCCCAGAAGACCCCCAACTCAAGAGAGCTGAGTCAAAACGCCAGTCATCATTGTCTTGGCAGGGGAGTCCCGACAAGCACGCGGGCCTTGCAGGACACGGTCCTGGGGGGCCCACACCACTCTCTCCACGTGGGGGCGGGGACGGGATGGGGTGCGGGGGAGGCGGGGGGCGGAGTGGACCTGACTGCTTTGCTGGGAGGGCACCAGCCTCGGGCGGCCTCCTGACGCCTGGAGCAGCAGGTAGAAGGGCTGGGCTGCGGGGGAGGGGGCAGCCCCCCAGGTGAGGCTGGAGGGAGGGGGTGGCCCAGTGCCAGCGGGAGGGCCATCCGGGAGGGAAGCCAGGTGGGGCGGCAGCCTCGCAGGTGCCGAGTTTGCCTGCAGGGGAGAGGGCGGAGCAAACGAGAGTAACCGGGGCCGGCTTCCCCCTGCCCGAAAGGGACGTGCACGGACCAAAGGGGGCCTCAGCGTGGAGCCCGTGGCTGGACCGGGATCGACGGTCTCGGCGTGAAGGCGTGGTTTTCCCAGGTCGGCGCACAGGCAGGTGTGCGTGTCCTGTTGCACCCGCACGTTCACACCTGCCTGCTCCCAGCTCCGTCCCCCGAGAGGGCTCACGTGGCAGAGCCCCGGCGACACCAGGCGCACCTGCCGCCAGACCTCGGCGTGCAAACGCCGTCCTCCGCTCCGAGGACCCAGGCTTCCGCAGAGACGGCTGAGTCCGGGGCTGCGCCCGGGGAGAAGCTCGGTTGTCCCGGAACCTCCCGGGAGTCGGAAAACAGAGAAGAGCTCGCAGAGCGGGGAAGGAGGGGCCGAAGGTCAAGGGAGCCCCTCCCAAGGGCTCAAACCCCAGACAATCTGGTCGGCAGAGTGAGTGAGGAGCGCAGGACGGGGACCCCCACTCACGGGCTGAGAGAGGGACCGGCGAGCCCGCGCCACCGCCGCCGAGCGAGCGAGTGGAGCGAGCAGAGACAGGGAAGGAAAACGGCCCCCGGTGTCCGGCTGCGGCCTGACCCACGCGGAAAGGACGGCGCAGGCGGAGGTCAGCGTCTGGGAAACACGGACGTTCCCAGAGGCCAGAGGCGCCCATGGACGCCGAGTCGGCAAAACAGGGTGAGGAGTGGGCTCTGCGGGGTCTCCAGCATCTGCTCTCCGGCCTGGTCCGTGATCACGGGGGGTTGTGGGGGGCAGCGTCACCGTGGAGGGGAGACCGCAGCCGCCGCCTGGAGCAGGCCCCGAGGCGAACCCCAGGACCATGACACACACCGACTGACACGCACACCAGGAGACGAGAACACGGCACCGCCTGCGTGCTGCTCTGGCACGCGTGTGGTCACGGGAGCCCACTGAAGGCTGCTCTGCCAAATGACTGTCAAGGTCAGAAAGGTCAGTGGAGGAGGCACCCTTCAAGGATCCTGGGCCGGCCTGACCCCCAGGCGGCAGCAGGGCCCCGTCCAGCCCGCGGGGCCCCCCCGAGGACCCCGTTCAAGCAGACACTTGACTGGGAGGAGCGGGCGCGAGGGAGTTCTCCGTGCTGCGCTTACAGCCTTTCAGGGCTGGGGATTTGTTTTAAAACAGAAAGTTAAAAAAATACAGCAGCGCGAAGGTCTTTGCCGACTACATGATGAAAATAAACCATTAGCTAACCTCTCGAAAAGGTGTGGCGGCGAAAGAGAAACATTCCCAACTACCAGGACACAGAGGGCGAGGAAAAACAAACATTTCAGCTACGAGAGGACATTGGGTCATACTCCTACAGGGCTGGGGAGGGGGGGGTCCTCTTTCACCAGCACCTTGGCAGTGTGTGCATCTGCAGACTTACAATGTATTTTTTTCCCTCTGACCTCACAATTTCATTTCTGGGAATCTGTCCTATGGAAATAATTTAAAATTTAGAAAAAGCTTTATGTCCAAATTTATTTATTCATTGCAGAGTTATTTATAAAAGGAAAAGTTTGGAATCAGCCTAACTGTCTAACCATAGGGGAATGGATTCATAAATGCTGAATATCTACTCAGTGGAGTGATACAAAGCCACCAAAGGCAATGTTTACAAGGAGTTAATGATGTGGGAAAATTCTAATATTTGTTAGAAAGGAAAAAAAAACCACACAACCTTTGACAGAAAATGATGGAATTCATACTGTGTATTTAAAAGTTGCATTTTTAAATCTAACCTTTAAAAACTAGAGAAAAATAACAAGATACTCATCAGTGAGTGAAAAAACACGACTGATTTTTTTCTACAAGATTATAGGCACCCAAGTTTCACGTCTGTGATCAGGAGACCGACATCGCCCTTAATCCAGTATTTTACCCTTTTCCTCATCTTTCAGTGGGTACTTCCGTCGCGACCACCTGACTCATCACAGCAGGTAGAACATCAGCATGCCTATGAAATTTCCTGGGGACACAGACAGCCAGCTGCGAACCGCTGGTAATGTCCCGGCCACGGGTGTTTGTGACGAAGGGACACGTAGTCTGGAGCTCAGCACCCCTCGCAGGGAAAGTCTGTCTCAGACGGTCCCCCGGTGAGGGCGCGTCCGCCGTGGTCACGCGGGACTGCTCGCACCTGCACAACGCGCTGTCCACTGGATACCTCGCGTTCCCACACACCTGAGCATCAGCTGCACCGCAGGTTCTTAAAGAGACAGAGAGGTTGGGGGGCGAGGGGGGTGGGGGGGACTGAGAGACTCTCTGAGAAGACCACTCTGGGGAACACCCAGGCTGGTGGGTCGCCTGGTCTGAGGCCCCCGGCAGGGCGGGGCCGAGCTCCACGTCCAGGTGGTTTTTTGGAAAGCTTCTACTCTTTCAGCTAAATTTATTGATACCCTCCGCTCACTCCGCTTGCAGTGCAAGAAACTGACTCCTTCCCACGCGGCTACCGCAGGGTCCCTCGGGTGTTCCGCTAGCCCGTTCTGAAGGTCTCACCCGGCACAGACGCTCCGGACAGAACTCGAACCCAGAACTCAGGAGGGAGCGTCCATCCCGCCCCCGGCGCGGCCCCTCGCGGATGGACCCGGACCTCTGCGGTCTGTGCGGAGCGCGCAGGTCCCGGCCCGCCGCCCGGGCCTCCGACGTGCCCAGAAGCACGTGCGTCTGCCTCCCCTGGGGGGCGGCGCCGGGGTGTCCCCGTCTCCAGGAAGCGGTGCAGCCCCCGCCTGGGGACGCCCCCCACAACGGCCCACGAGCACCCCCAGCCCGCCTCCCCCTGCGCCGGGCCCTCTGCTGCGCATGCCCGAAGCTTGGACCGTTTTTGGAAACAGCTCCTTGTGGCTATTTAAGTCCCAGCAAATTCCAATTTGTCGTCCTCGTTCAGTCACATCCTATCCAGCGCCAGCGCGTCAGCCGGGTGTCAGAGCTTTCTTCTCCCCACGCCCGACCTAATCCACCCGCAACTCCGCTCGGGACCGGGTCGTTCACAGGCTAATTTTCCTCCACGGGAGGGGGTGGGGGGAGATGCGGGGACGCCCAGGAACCTCCCCTGAGAGTCTCTGCAAACGGCCTCGGGGGGCGTGCAGCCGGGGACCCACAGGCCTGCGCGTGCCTTGCCCACTGAGCGCTGGCTCGCCCCCTCTGAGTCCCGTGGGCCGAGGGCAGCGTCCCGGGCTGCATGAGGCCGGACCAGCCGGAGAAGCGGAGGTCCCGGAGGGGCGCCGTGCTTGAGCTGTCCCCGGGGCCCTTCCCCCAAAATCGGCCCAGTCCAGGGGGCACCAAGGGTCCCTCCACAGTGCCCGCAGTTCCGCCCAGGGACTCTGTGCACCGACAGGCGCCCCAGCCCCTGGCCACCCCCGGTGGGCACCTCCCGCTTCTGTGAGCGAAGCAGCCCCACCACCACCCCCTCGTCTGGGTAAACAGGGGGAGGGAGACTTTTCCAGCAGCCGCCGTGTGAACTCCGTCCTGGAAGTCTGCTCTTCGCCGCAGGCTTCGGCCTCCTGCGCCCGCCCCTCGCTTGAAAGCCAGCCGCCCGCCGCCGCCGCCGCCGCCGTGACGAGCGAGGTCAGAGAGCAGCGGTTGTGCATGAAAGATGTGAAAATTTACTGCAAATGAGACAAGAGCCGTAAATTCATTTTTATTCAAATTACTGTCATCCTACATTACCACGTCGCCTGTAAACACTGCGCTTCAGACGGGGTGACAGCATATTATTATTTGCGAGATTATACTATTATTAAGCTATTACCATGTCACCCCCTGCTTGAAACAATGACTCAGCCCCGCGCTGCATAATAGGACGAGTGAGGGAGGCACGCGGGGGTGACGGGAAGGTTAGTCTTCAGAAGGCAGGCCGGTGCGGAGTGACAGCTGGCACTTACGGGCCCACGTGACGAGGGGCCCGTGCGTTTTTTATCTGGGGGCCTTCCAGATCCTACCGTTATGCCAAAAAGACCGTTTTGTCTCCCTCAAAACGCACGCTGCCCAGGAATTAGGCCAATGGCTGGCCTCAAACCCGAAAGGAAAAAAAATCAGGGCGAAGGAGCGCCCCTCCCCCAGGTGAAGCGCCCCCAGCTGACGAGGGTCGCTCCCGCCGGGACACTGGTGTCACTGTGAGTGTCCCCGCCTGCCGGGGAGCAGAGGGCCCCCGCTGGCACTCCCGCCGTCCGACCGCAGGACACCCAGGCAGGAGGCCCATTGCCCCTGCAGCCCCGGAGGGGCAGCTGTCTCAGAGCGGTCGCCTCCACCCCCAAGGCCTTGCTAAGGACCAAACGGTCGTCGTCTGTGGGCTTCAAAGGCCATCGGTGCGGTGTCACCGTCCAGTGTCCCTGGGCCGGACAGATCGCACCTTCAGTGAGCACCTGCAACGACCCCCATCGGAGCCAGCCAACTGGCAAACCCCAACACCGGTCCGGGCTGTGGGGCTTCCTCCGGCTCTGCGCGGCGGGCCCGGCGCCAGGGGGGACAGAGCAGCCCGGCCCAGTCATCCGCAGGAGCTTTTGCTAAATGTCGTCCCCGAGGTTGCCAGACACCCCGTTGTCCCTTCCGGCTGGGGGGCCCTTGCGCACCCCTGGACGGGATGGGGCCCTGCAGGGGTCAGAGCCTTCTCCCGGCTTCCCAGTGTCCCCGGCCCCGGCCTTGAGGCTGTGTCCATGGGGGATCCTAGGCCCAACTCCTCCGCAGCCCTGCTCTGTGGAGTCGCCCACCGTCGGTTACGTGGAAAGACGTCTCTGTAAACTGAGTTTCTTTCGCTCTCTCTGGTCAACGTTTCTCGGGCTCCTGCAGACAAAAACGGCATTTTGTGAAGTTGGGTAAAGAGCGAGTGTTGGGGAGTTTGTTCTAAACGGGCTAGGGAGGAGCCCCGTGAAGGAGCGAGGATTCAGGGGCCCCCCAGCGTGTTGCCAGGGACCGCACTTCAGTTTCGACGAGAAAACGCAATAAAAGGAGGGGCAGCTTGGAAGGCTCCAGCCTCCAGGGCTGCATCCCCAGCACGCTCCGCGCCCACAAGGCTCTCGGAGGAGCCTGTTGCACGTGGCACCCCGGTGCTGAGAACGTGCCTGTGTACCTCGAAAGCTCTCAGTTGCACGTGCTGTTCTGATAAATTGTCCCTAAACAACGAGGAAAGCGAGCAATTGCTGACCTGAACCATCCGCGGGTTCCACACTGGATTGTTCCCACTTAGAAGACTGCTTGTATTCCGCCCGCACTTCTGGCCCTGAACGGCGAAGGCGCCCCCCACCCCTCCCACCCACGACCGGGGTCTCTGTCCTCCCCCCATCACCCCACTCATCCTCCTTTCTTCAAGCCACAGTCTCCCCGCTTCCGTGGCCAAGGGCCACGTCAGCGTTGGGGACCCGCTGTCCCTCTCGGTCAGTGGGGGGCCTCTCACCGGCAACAGCGCGGCGTGGCCCCGGTCCCCGGCCCCCCCACCGGGGTTTCCACACAGTCCTTCCCCTGTTCCGTCCAAACAAGCAACTGAACTCTTGCCCACTAATCTCCCCGAGTCGCTCAGGAGCACACACCCTCACCAGACCAAACTCCCTCCTTCCAGTTTCACTTTCAGCTCTCCGTGACATCGGCAGGGTTCCGCGCGCCGGGCCGGACGTGCCGTTTCTCCTGCGCGTCTGCTTCTCGTCAGCACGATAACCTTCGGCATGAAAGGGGAGGTTGAAAGAGCTGGATGGATCGGCTCGAGGGAGGGTCCGCCGAGACGCTGCACATGCGGGCGCTGGTGGGGTCTCGCGCCAGAGAAAGCGCCCCCCTCCCCGGCCTCCCGGCCCGTCTCCTGTCCTCACGCAGGGAGAGCTGCCTGGCCTTGGGAGATGTGGCCAAGGCCCAGAGGGATGAGCAGGGATAAGCAGATTGGTCCAGCGCGGACGGAGGCCCGGCGAGGACTGGCGGAGCGCGGAGGGAAACCGGGCGGGGGGAGCTGTGCGCGCCACCCGCTTTGAGGCCTCGGGAGGGCCCCTCTGCGTGGCCCAGGGCCAGCGCTTTTGGGGGGAGAAGGAGGAGATAACCCCATTTCACTGCCCCTTGCTGCGCCGCACATGGGAACTCCCGTGCCAGCAGATGTTGGGGAAGGAAGAAGGACGCATGCCCAGGAGAGCGGAGGCCGTCTAGGGCTGTGTCTGTGCAGCATTAGGACTGTAACCGCTTAGGAGCCGGTGTCCGCCCTCGGACGGCCGGGGTGCGCTGGCCCGAGCCTGCGTGACCCGCTCTGGACACAAGGGTGAGGCCTCCAAGAGGAAGGGCGACCCCCGGGGCCCCGGGGTCCCGCTGCCTCCCCCGTGCCCCCCCCAGAAGGGCTGCCCACCGCCGGTCCCCAGAAAGTCTGGGACTGGGGCTCGCCCGGAGCACAGCAGACGCTCGCTTCTCCCTGCCCGAGGAACGCCGCCCACAGGTGCGCCGCGGCGGTCGGGGAGGGGGGACGCAACTGACGGGAATCAGGAGCCTCGCCGCCCTTAGTTCGGGGCAATGTGCAAGCTTCTGACTGGTCCCTCTACTGGGGACAGGGGGAGACCCAGCCACTGGCCCCGGCGTCCCCCCAGCACCTTACACGGACCGGCTGTCTGCGTGGAGATGCATCTGGAATTCGGCGGGAAAGGAGTGGCCGGTGCACGCCGGGACCCTCCCCCCATCCTGCGAGGGTTCCCCTGGGAAAGGGAAGGGCGCTCGGGGCCGGGGAGCTTCCGGTGGCAGCAGCGGCAGCGAGCGAGGAGGGAGAGCGAGGACGCCCCTGGGGCTCAGCCTGATGGGCAGGAGCAGTGGCTGCACCATCAGCCAGACTCTCGGGGCCACGCAACCCCGGACCACCCACACCACGACACCAGTGGGGGCCTCCCCGATATGTGCAGAATGGAGGGTCGTGCTATCTCGAGTTAAGGGGGGGCCCATGGGCCACAGGTGTCAGAAGAACTTCGAAGCCCCTCACTGCTTACAATTGGCCCCTCCCACAGGGTGGTAAACGTAGGTACCATGCTTGTGATTTTACTCGGCACATAGTAGGTACTCAACAAAGCACTGCACATCTCACTTTCCCACCAGGCTATGAACTCTTTGAGGCCAGGGGCCATGACCCGTTTCTTTATCCTCAAAGACTCACATGTGCTCAGTGCATAACTGACTTAATGAGTACTGAATGCGGGAATGAATGAAGGCAGCCGTGGAGCTGAGAAAGAAATGGGGTGATGGTGGGTGCCACACCTAAGGCACCTTGGTTTCCTGGGCTGCCCGTCACCCCGCAGGCCGCAGGCATGGGGACATACAGGACACTGGGGACAGGGTCGGGGTGGCCGCAGCGTCGCCCTCAGCCCCTCCCGTGGCCACGCCGGACAACAGCGGCCTGTGCAGCCCAGAGGGAGCCTCCTCCCGGAGAGACGCTCTGAGTCCACCCACGGCCTCTCCCACCTTTGCCTGCTGAGAGAATACGTGGGGCTTTTTAAAGAAACGAAACCCTAGCCCGGGCTGGCGTAGCTCAGTGGATTGAGCTCGGGCTGCAAACCAAAGTGTCGCAGGTTCGATTCCCAGTCAGGGCACATGCCTGGGTTGCGGGCCACGGCCCCCAGCAACCGCACACTGATGTTTCTCTCTCTCTCTTTCTCCCTCCCTTCCCTCTCTAAAAATAAATAAATAAAATCTTAAAAAAAATTAAACACTAGATTTTATTCTGTATTCCAAACTCTTATTGGTTAAAAATGTCTGGGGAAGAACTGTTGTTTCAGAACACACAGAAATCATTTCAAACTACTTAAAAAAATCAAACAAACCCATCGGTCAGGGGCCAGGTTGCTCAGCCCCTGCTGTGTGCCCATGGGCCTGCCGGACGCTCCCCCCCGCCCCTGCCCCCGGCCTCCTCCCTCCCGGTGCTACGGAGAACTCGGGGTGACGAAGCCGCACGAGAGTGGAAAGAGCAGAGGCGCTCCGTGCCCGGGACAAGCGCTGGCCCCGGCACCCAGGGACAGGGAGGGACGCCGTGGCAGGGACAGTGACTCGGACACTGAGCTCGGACACGGCCGCCTTCCCCGCCCTGCCAGGCTCAGGCTGCTGCCCAGTCAGCTCCCTTGCCCTTAACGCAGAGGCCGGGGCAGTGGGTGCTGGCTGCTGGGAGCTGCAGGGTGACAGGCGGGGAGTGATGCGTGTTCTCACTGGTGACCTGCCCAGTGTCTGACCCCTGCGCAGACCCTCCTCACGCTGACCTGGGAGGGGACGCCCAGTGCTGCAGGCCACGGCCACGGCCACGGCCAGGCTGCCCGTCCTCAACGCAGAAGCCACGAACCCTGGGCTGCCACCCGGCCCGCAAGGACTGCGATGCCGGCAGGCAGTCTGAGCCCCAGCCCCTGGCGCCCCGGGGCTGCAGCTGCGGGCCTCACCCGTGCCGCACTGACCTGCCTGCCGGCCCCAGCGAGCAGGGAGCAGGGGTGGGGGCCCTCCCTGGAGAGTTGGCCCGCCCCCCTCGCAGCTGACCCTCTGGTTTGCTTCTTGACGGCCCGTCCTTCACTGAGGTGGGGCTTCTCTGAGTGCTGGCTGCCCGGGGGTGGGGGAGGGGTGCCTTCCGGTCCAGCTCTGAGAAAGGCCACCCCCACCGCGGAGGCTGCCTGTCTGAGGCCTGCTGGGGGCAGGCCTGTGACTTGGTTTGACGCTGTGTGTCCCACCGAAAGAGAAGGTCTCTCCATCGCAGCCACGCCTCCTTGAGTTGAGCGCGGTTGTGGAGAACCTGGCGCTTGGCCTAGAGCCTCGGGGGGAAACTCGGGGGTCCCGGGGGGGCCCTGGGCGCGCACTGGTGCACTCCAGGTGAGCAGGGGCTGGGAACACTGCGGCTGACACCGTTTCCTGGTGCGTGAGTGTGCTCACCCTTGGTGTCTGCAGTGCAGGGCCTCGTGCCCACGTCCCCATCGGTCAGCTTCGGACCCTTCTGGCAGGTGGGCGGGGGAAAGGAGGCAGACCTGAGGTGGGCTCACTACCCCCCCCCCGGCACAGGCACTGAGGGGGGCGCCGAAGCAGCAGCAGCCACGGCTCAGACCCTTGAGCTGCAGAGGGGTGCATGCTTATGACGTCCCCTACCCACCGGTCTGGGTTCCCTCAGTGCTTCCCGCGATTTGGGCAATGCCCGTCTGAACGGCTGTGCCCGGGCGGAATCCCAACCTCAGAAAGATCCAAGAGCTCAGTGCAAAGTCACCGCTGCGTCTCGCACGGAAAACCGGCCGTGGACTTGACCCCGGGCAGCTGCCCGCACTCAGGTGTGCAGAGAGAACCTCAGGAAACCGGACTTCCCGAAGAAAAACCTCCCAGCAAACAAAGAAGCAGCCCTCCCCCCGTGGCTCCGGGCGGCGTCGGGGCAGGCGGCCTCCGTCCTCCACGTCGCTGCCATCACGTCCGGTGTCCCCAAGGCCCTGAGACTGGTGGGAGCTGCTGCCCGGGGCAGTCACCAGACCCACCACGGCCCGTGGGGAGGGTGTGCGCCACCGATGACCCCGCCGGGCTTCCCACGCACGGGGCACACACTGGCACTCGCCTGGGTGTGAGAGTCGCCGGCACCGGGAGACCGGGCTGACCGCTAGTGAGGAAGCGGAGGCTTTGCCGGTGCCATCTGGGGCCCCCTGGCTGCGGCCGAGATTAGGACGAGGAGCGTGACATAACACACCGTATTAAGCAGGCAGCGGCTTGGTTATGGGCTCAGTATAACTTTCCATGCCTGCCGCACGCCAAGAGCTCAGCCCGAAACACCTTTTTCCAGAATATGAAACATAATATCTCGTGCTCGTTGCATTATTTAAAAAGGGGCAATGTGGTTCATAACTTTACATTTATTGCATACTTTTAAGCCACTTGACCCATATAAATATTGCTATAGAGTTGCCCTCAGTTATTAAATTCTTATTGCTTATAAAAGAGGCGGCAGGAAGCATATAACCTGCCGTGGAAGGCGTGGGGGGGGGGGCTGCGGGGCCCGGGACCAGGTGGGGGGGTGGGGGGGGCTGTTTCGGGGAGCAGGTCGGTTTCCATCCGCTCTCTGCTCCCAAGCCTGGGAATGGATTCTGGTTTTTTCCTTCCTCGGTGTGGGCAGCCGCCTGGTTGACTTGCGCTCCAGGAACGATGCGTTGACACGGAGAAGCCACATTTTGCCTTTCTGTGAATTGAAACGGAGCCCCACCCCCGAAAGAAACTAGTGGGAAGATTTTCCTAGTTCAGCGGCACAGCCGACACCAGATGCAAGCAAGGCCTCTGCCCGGGTGGAGGTGCAAAGCCCAGGTCTCCTCACAGGGGGCGGAGGCCCACCTTCGTCTCCGCCATCAGGCTGGTGTCCCTGTGAGCGCTGCCTCCTGGTTCTCCCGGTCCTCCTGGGGGGGGGAGGGGGGCTGGCTCCCCTCGCAGCGTGCAGACCCACCCCGGCCGAGGCAGGTGCCACGGACACGTGCCGGCGGGGGCTCTCCCCTGGTGTGCGACCACCCGCACCTGAAGACACCCGAAGCAGTTTGGAAGAGAAGGTTACCAAACAGCACATCCCCTTGAGTGCTAGTGCCCGTGGTCCGTGGGACCACCGCCCCTCCCCACCCCCGTCTGCAGGACGCAGGGCAGAGAGGGCGCCCGGTCGCAGCTGGGCGCCGGTGGAGGAGGAGTGGGTCCGTGGGGCCCAGGGCTGATTCGGAA